TGTGTGTGTGTGTGTGTGTGTGTGTGTGTGTGTGTGTGTGTGTGTGTGTGTGTGTGTGTGTGTGTGTGTGTGTGTGCATTACACCGTTTTGAACTATCAAATTAGTGAATACGGGTATTTTTGTTATCCGACCCGCTTTGACAGTGTGCGTCTGACACACCGCAAAGTCACGATGCTCGGGGAAAAAAATAACTTAATTTTTTTTTTAAGCCACAGAAGATACGTGTGAAGAGTGCGGTACTCAGGACTTGGTCCCCAAAATATGGCTTTGAACTTTACTCTATTATTTTAACGTGCTTTTATAAGCTTCTAATTTTGGTCGTGTATTTTGTTTATTAAATAATTGATTGTCTTTATTTGTTATTTTGTGCAGAACAAAATTAGCCACACTCGGAATTCCCTCAGCACACTATGAAACGTGCCTTATGGCCTGGTTACACGTAACGATAAATTGTACAAAAACTGGACATCTAGCGATCATACGATAAATCGTTAGGTGTAACCACAAAATTTGCACAAAATTTGGACGATTGGTTTTGGACAATGGCTTGAAGACAGTCGAGAAATCCGGTGGGGAATCTTGCGAGGCACATTTTGTTTTGAGAGTAAAGGTCTAGATCTAGACCTTGTAATTTTTTGCATCTCTCAAGATTTATTGCTCCATTTCAGTAGAGTGTAAATATAGTAGGCCAATGACTTTCAATTGATGTTAATGCACCGATCATTCCTTTCATTGAAAGGGGGCCCAGCTAGCGTTATTTCACGTGCAATCACGTTCAGATTTGTGGGGAGACGCGCTGTGATGTAAAATCGCTTTGAAATTTGCCGCCTCGCAGGGCACAAAATGTAAAAAAAAATAATAATCGCATCTTAAAACTGATTTCATATTCGGAATCAGCGTCTCAAAATAAGCAGAGCAGTCAAGCTCGCGCGAAACCCGATTTGATGCGAAACTAAGTAAATTTTAGTAATTTTTAAAATTTAATGGATCACCAGTGGTGAAGTGCATCAAGGTCGCTCGGTGCGTTGCTCATCTGCAGTCAAGTCAAAGCTTCTCTTTCTACACATAACACGGTACAGTATGGACAACCTTTTCTAAAGACGCTGTACTGTTATATATCAAAATGTACAGGGGAGGGGGTGGGACTCTCGTAATCTCGTTCGCCTTTCATTCTTTAGGTCCCGAGCTCGAAACCTCCACATAGAGTGCAGACAAATCGCTGTCGTCGCAAAGAGACAAGGTGGCTTTGTGACGAGGAATCTACTTGGTCGAAAGAAAACAGGACGATAGATTGAAACGAGTAAAGAGACAACACAGTTCGATAAAATGGACAGTTCTCGCATACGACGAATCTGATATATTTTATTGTTGCGTGTAACCGGGGCTTTAGACCAAAATCGGTGATTGTTGCTACTATTGTAGTAAACAGTATTCATGCTAGAGCGCTTATGGGTCACAGGTATTCTCTATGCTTGCTTGTTATTCAGTCGTCATTTGGATCTAGATGTAAGGGAGAAATAGATCCAATGCGGACTTTTGAGACCACGGCACTGGACAGATGGAAATCCTTCCCGATTCTCCTTTCTTTTAGATCTAGATCTAGGCTACGGTCAAGTCTAGGCCCAAGTAAGAGAAGAGAACAAAAGTACTGAACTGAAGTGAGAAGAGAGTCTACAGTACAAGTTAGAATAGAATCCAGGCCTAGAATTTTGATCTTTCGAGAAGCTGAAAATTCCTCTTCTTTGAAGGTGGAGAACTTCGCACTTCGCACCCACTTCCATCTGCATCGCAATTTTGTTTCGAAGTTCGAAGTGAAGCGAAAATTCAAAGGCAAAGACTTCGGATTTTTTAAATGCAAAAGAGTTCTGTTGTCACTGGGAATAGTTTCTGTACCTATCCCCAGTGTCACTGGGAATAGTCACTTCGTTGTAAATAATATATAATTACCACAGTAAATTCAATTTCATAATGAACAGTCTGATTTTCTGTTCAGGCCTGATTATTCAGAGCCGACGTGTTAACAGATTGCTCCTTCAGAGAAAAGAAATCATGTGTATTATTATTTCCACAGAGTATGGAACGTCTGCTGGGAACAACGGGGGTTCAGGGGTTCGGCTGTCAGTCCAGTCCATGCCGGAACATAGTTATGTGCCCTTGCCCCGTGTGGAGCCCAGCGACTCGTCTCCCACCGGCACTCACGGTTTGGGTTCCATGATTCACTGGAATACTGGTTTCCCTGCTCAACAGCTGCATCAACAACAACAGCCGCCGCCTCCTCAACCACAAGTACAACCACAGCAGCTCTCTGTGGGAGAGCTACGTAACTCTGACGACGAGGAGGATGACGGTGCGTTTTCAATAATCTTTACAGGTCTTTTAGTGAATAATTATGAGTTAAAAGTGCCCCCCCCCCCTTTCCACCTCCTGTGTCTAAAAAAAGACCAATGTATAGGGCTATAACTCTGGCATCTCAGCGTCAATTTCAACAAAACTTCACAGAAATGAAATTCAGCCCAAGGCACTGAACGTTTAATTTGTCACTTTGAAGAAAATCAAGCAATACGTTCTAAAAAATATCAAGTTTCGGCAATTTCAAGCAACACTTTGCAACTTATTAAAAAACAACCATAATGTGCTTTTGTGCATTAAAAGAACTAGTAAAAAAAATACCCGTTCTACGAACAGAATAATAATGAAGAAGCATTAGGAAAGTTAAGAAGAGGAAAAAGACTGAAAACAGGAAAGAAACAAAACTTAAATATTTTACCTTGAATTTATCAATATAGCAACCACTCTTGACTACCTCTAGGGGTAAGGCTTCTTCCCCTCTTCGAAGGCGTGGCTTTTTTTCCTAAAGTTCCAGCTCAATCTCTTTTTTTAAAAAAAGAGTTAGGCCTACATGCCAATTGTTGCTTCCTAGAAGAAACCTAGATTCTAGATGTAGCCTAGATCTCGAAGGATTATATTATAAAGACATAGGCCAATAATTGAAAGAAGGAGCCTAGGCCCACAGATAGATCTAAGTTTAGAAATTCATATTTTTAACAACCGACAGGCGTCACAGATGGCCTAGATTTCTAAATCTATTCACAGCAGGAAAAAATCCACTTTCAAGAATACTTTCATGATTCTTGATCTCGATCTAGATTCACCGACAGCCTAGTTCTAGACTCTAGATCTATTCACACCAGGAAAAAAATCCAAGTCAATACTTTCATCATTCTTGATTTCGATCTAAGATTCACATATAGATCTAGCCTAGATCTAGATCTTAGAATCTCTAATGCACAGCAAGAAAAATCCACTTTCAATATTCAATAGGTTAACGAAATATCACAGATCTAGATTCTACTTTCATTTCATGATTCTTGTTGATCTCTAATTAGATCTAGGTTCTAGATTTAGATCTCATGACACTGTGCACAAAATACACTCATCCTTCGGCGTGCGCGCTAAATCCACTGCATGAGAAATCTACTGTCAATACTTCCATGCAGGGGCGAAGCGTCTAATATAATCAAATAATCACTGCTTCCCTTCCTAATTTTGAAACATTGTCGCTGTCAAATTCACCTATAAACGTAAACCTCATAAATTAAATGTAAAAAGACGTTCATAATCAACAATGAACAGTATGCCTAACATTCAAAA